CAACCCTTCTCAGCTTTCAAGATTGGACAAGAGTTGGCTTGTTTAGGGTAGTATGTTTGTAGGTTATTTAGCCCTCTTACCTTTTCCCTATTCTCTCTTCATATTCTCAGTAGAATTATAGCAGCTTTTGTATAAAGGGATCTAATTGTTTACATTATTGTGATAATTCTTTGTTTTGTTTTTCTGTGTGTATTCACTACTTCAAGCCAAGTTTCCTTCCATCAACATTATTATGATTATGTATAAATAATTTCCTGGTGAGCCAGGTACTATATTATGATTACATTTCCTTTCTTAAACAACCTTTTTATTTTTCTGGATTTAATAATTATCTCTCCTTTTTATTTGCTTAGTTTTCTATGATCCCCCACATAGCTGTGCAGCACATAGCCTGAGCAGCTGTACACAGCAGCCCTGTTTGTGCTTATGGCTAAGTCTTCCCAAACTATCCAACAAACTTTCAGTATAACTTTCCACAGATTAAGTTAATGGATAATCTAGTAGTTGTTTTTTTTTTTTATCTTAGAGCCCCATGTCTTCATATTCCAATCTCTTCTGTCAGATCTTGTTTCCTGAATGCCATGTCTTTTTAAAAAAGATTGTATTTATTTTATTTTCAGAGAGGGGAATGGAGAAAGAAAGAGAGGGGAACATGGATGTGTGGCAGACACATCAATCGGTTGCCTCTTACACGCCCCCAACCAGAGACCTGGCCCTCAACACAGGCATGTGCCCTGACCGGAAATTGAACCAGCCTAATGGAGTCACACCCATCAGGGCCTGGATGACATGGCTTCCTTTTTGGTTTACTCTCTAGGTTCAGTGAAGCATGTCCTCCAATCATTTTTGAAAGAGTATGCATGGAAGGAAATCTTTTGAGCAAAAATGTATTTATTCTATTCTAATACCCAATTGATAGTTTGGCTGAATACAGAATTCTCTACTGGAAATGATATTCACTAAGAATATTGAAGAGAATGCCATGGCTCCACTTCAGCTTTGCCTATTTCTGTTGAGAAACCAATGTAATTCTTACACTTAATCCTTTGTATAGGACCTTTTACTTTTTCCTGCTTTCAGAAGCTTTTAAGGTCTGCACTTTAACTATTGGATTCTGAAATTTCACAGTGGTGTGCCTCCACATGGGCCTTCTTTTCCCCTCAATCCTGTTTGATGTTTTATAAGTGTAACATTGTCTTATTTCTCTGAATATACCAATTGGAGTAGAAGCACACCAGTTATCTTTATGTTTTTGACTCTTCCTTGCATTGTCTTTGTTTTATCTAAGCCTCCTCTTTTGTTTTTTGTTTTAGCCTCTGGCTTTCATGTTGGAACTGTCCATGAACTCTCTGAAATCCTTTATTTTTTAAGTGTATTTTATTGATTATGCTATTACAGTGGTCCAAGTTTTTCCACCTTTCCTTCCCACCCCTCCAGCAATCCCCCCCTTAGTTCATGTCCATGGGTTGTGCATATAAGTTCTTTGGCTTCTCCACTTCCTACAGTATTTTTAACCTCCCCCTGTCTATCTTGTATCTATCTACCAGTTATGCTTCTTAATACCTGCACCTTTCCCTGCACCCTCCCTCTTCCCTATCCCAGTTGAAAACCCTCCAAATAATCTCCATTTCTGTGATTCTGTTCTTGTTCTAGTTGTTTGCTTTGTTTTTTTGTTTTTGTTTTTTAGATCCAGTTGTTGATAGTTGTGAGTTTGTTGTCATTTTATTGTTCATAGTTTTGATCTCCTTCTTTTTCTTAGATAAGCCCCTTTAACATTTCATATAATAGTGGTTTGGTGATGACAAACTTCTTTAACTTGACCTTATCTGGGAAGCACTTTATCTGCCCTCCCATTACAAATGATAGCTTTGCTGGATAGAGTAATCTAGGTTATAGGCCCTTGATTTTCATCACTTTGAATACTTCTTGCCAGTCCCTTCTTGCCTGCAAAGTTTCTTTTGAGAAATCAGCTGGCAGTCTTATGAAAACTCCTTTGTAGGTAACTCTCTGCTTTTCTCTCGCTTTTAAGATTCTCTCTTTATCTTCAATCTTTGGCATTTTAATTATGATGTATGTTGGTGTGGTCCTCTTTGGGTCCAACTTGTTTGGGACTCTATGTCCTTCCTGGACTTGCATGTGTATTTCCTTTGCCAAATTAGGGAAGTTTTCTCTCATTATGTTTTCAAGTAAGCTTTCAATTTCTTGCTCTTCCTCTTCTCCTTCTGGTACCCCTATAATTCAGATGTTGGTATGTTTAAAGATGTCCCAGAGGCCCCTTAGCCTATCCTTGTGGTTTGGTTTTTTGTTGTTTTTTTTGAATTCTTGTTCTTTATTCTGTTCTGGTTGACTATTTATTTTTTCCTTATATTCCAAATTGTTGATTTGAACCCTGACTTCATTCTCTTCACTGTTGGTTTTCTGTGGATTTTTACTTCACTTAGTGTAGCCTTCATTTCTTCCCTTATGATTTTGCCATACTCAGTGAGTTCTCTGAGCATCCTTATCACCAGTGTTTTGAAATCTGCATCTGGTAGGTTAGATATTTCCATTTTGTTTAATTCTTTTTCTGGAGTTTTGTTTTCTTCTTTCATTTGGGCCATATTTCTTTGTCTCCTCAGTCTGGCAGCCTCTGGACCATGTTTATTTCTGTGTATTAGGTAGAGTTGCTTTGACTCCCTGACTTAGCACACCTGTTAAGTTTTATGGGGCAGAGCCTTAGGTATTTGCCAGGGCAGGGCAACCTGCTTCACCACTTTTTTGCTGTGTATGTGAGGGAGGGGTCAGAGAGGGACAATGCCACTGCCTGGCTTCTGGAGGCTTGCTTGGCACTCACCCTGCTTCCAGTCACTTCACCCACCTCCTGTGTGTGATTGGCGCACCTCTAGTTGTTGCCTTGGTGTTGGTCCCAGAGCGGGTGGGTTTGCGTATGTCCTAGGACTGTGTGGGCTTTTTAAACAGACTTTCCTGAGAGACCAGCAGTTTTTTTCTGCTGCCCTAACCCCCATTTGTTTTTACAGCCAGAAGTTATGAGGCTTTGTTTCTAGTGCTGGAGCCCTGGGCTGTGCATTCTGGCCTGGGGCTGGGGTAGCTTGCTCCTCAGGTAAACTTCCTGATTTTTATTCACCACACATAAATGTGGGACCGCCTGTTTGGCTAGTTGCTGTGTTGCTGCATCACCATCACACTGTGGCCTCTCCACCCTAGCTCCCATCTTTGCCCCTCCGACTCACTTGGATGAATATCAGTTCTTTAAATCCTTAGTTGTCAGACTTCCACATAGTTCAATTTTGTGGCAGTTCTGGGTGTTTTTTTTGTTTTGAAATTAGTTATGATCCCTCTTACGGTTGTTGAAGGAGGTGAAATGTGTCTACCTACACCTCCATCTTGGCCAGAAGTCCCTCTGAAATCCTTGGTCATTTGTTCATATTGAATAATGAGGCACTAAAAAGCTGATTGTAAGTTCTAAGTGCCTGCTGTGTGTGAGGAGGACTTTGTTGTATGGTGATTGGATGGCAGGCTCCTTTTGGTTATGGTATCATTAGTTTTTCCCTGGGGTTTCAGTTCTCCAGAGAAGGATACTTTAAATTTCCTATGTGGGATATATACCTGGCTGCCTATATTCTGGGAACTGGGTGTGGGGAAAAAAAAACCCTGACTTTCCTTTAGTTTCCCTCTTTTCAATCTAGCACACTCTACTACCCCTACTTGTCTCCAAGTCTATAACCTCTTGTGTTCATTTTCATGCACTTGTTTTTAATCTATTTTTAAAACTTCTTATTTACACAGAATACAGAAATGTACAAATGATAAGTGTATAGTTCAATTAATTTTCACTAGCAGAACTGAAACCACAAAAGACATCAGAGTTCGGGCTGCCTGTCACTACCAAACCCAATAAGCAATGACAGTGATTGAATCTTTATGGGAGCTTTATTCAGTTGGCTGGTGATCTGAGAAGATCTCAGGTTCATACCCTAATAGACCATCTTCTCTTTTCTTTCCAGGCCAAGGTTTTTATAGCAGGGAATAAACAAGGTGTGGTGAGGGGTTTTGAAATTCAGGGAGGGTCAAGTAGAAGAAACTGCAACATTCCTGTCCTGGGCAGTTAGCTGTTCCCAGGGGCAGGTGTTCATTTGCACTTCCCTGAAACACAATGGTTTGGATGCCTCCACTTGGCCCCAGGAAGTGATCTTTAGCAGTGCTCCGGGAGGTCAGCTGTTTTTCCAGGGGCCAGGATGGGCCTTATCTGTAGTGTCTGAAACGAAAGCTTTAACATATGCATTACTTGCTAAGCTTATAACTACCTTAAACTAAAATGTTCCAGCTTTTAAGAATCCTATCAGAACCAGCTCTATCATGAGCATTCAGGTGTCTCTGGTTCAGTTTCTACAAATAAGATGACTTTTTGCTGGGGTAACATACATGAAACACTTAAAACAGTCCATGGGATATTGTGAGAGCTTCTGTTAGTGCTAGCTATCATCATTCAGCCACCTGATCACCTGCTTTTTGCCTTCATAACTGTGCTTTCATGTAACATTTATCTCCTAGTTTCATAAAAACCCTACATTCCACTTTTTCCTTTCCTTATTTTTTAGGGTAGCTTCTGTATTTCACTTCTGCACTTATTACAAAGTTTTAAATTTTAATTTAGCTTCATCTGTCAATGGATGGCCCAAAGGCACTGGATAGAAATCATCAGCTATGAAATAAGCCAGCCAGAAAAGGACAAAAACAATATGATTTTACTCATACCTGGAACATAATACTAAAAAGTAAAAAACAAACAAATGTAATAAAACAAAAGCAAATTCACAGATACATATAGAATGGTGGTTACCAGAAGGGAATGGGGTGGGGGAGGGTGAAATGTGTAAAGGGGATCAAATATAATTATACCTTGTTGCTCATCAGCTTCAGAACCCATAAAATCCTGTACTCATCGCATTTTGACAAGAAAATATTTCAGCACTCATTGTTTGCTTGCTACTTGGTGCCCCTCTGTCCTGATGAAACCGAGGTTGATGTGTCAGTCTCACAGTAGGTCGCAAACAGCTCAGTAGTTATGGGTCTCAGCACTTTTCATGAATTCTGGAATGAATTATCAATGAGTACCAAGGTACCACTGTATATGCTAATGGATGGAAAGTAGACTTTTGGTGGTGAGTACACAATAGAGCATACCATTTTCATTTTCAGCGAGTGTGTCTCAAGACTTTTTAGAACATGCACTACCTGACTATTTAGTCAAGGACACTGACCTCTTTTCCCTTAGATTATCAAATAAAAAACGACAACAGCCAACACAACAATAGATGGCTGGTGTGAATGAATCAAAATTATACCTATTTTTTTGTCAGATCAGCAAAAAATATATTTTTTGGTGTGCCACAAAATTTGAGTAATTAGTTTACATGTGCCATAAGATTAAAAAGGTTTAAAATCACTGGAGTATACAGATATTGAATTATTTTGTGTACACCTGAAATGTATGTTATTAAACAATGTTACCTAAAAATTAATTAATTAATTAATAAAAATCAGCATCCACTCCTTATAAAACTGTAAGTACAATGGAATAGAAGAAGACTTTCTAAAGAGTATCAAAAAGCTATGAGCAAGTATCATAAGTCATTTCCCATGAAATTCAGAAGTAAGGCACGAATGTCCTCCATAGTGTTTTGAAGGTTCTGAAATGTAATAAACCAAGAAAATGAAATAAGATGTATAAGTCTAAAAGGAAGAAAGATAAAAAGAGGAAAAAGTGTAATTATTTGCAGATGATATGATTATATGCATTGAGAATCCAAGAAATGCAATTTAAAAATTATTAAAACTCAGAAATATATGTAGTGGACATCTGCTGTTTTGGTTTACAAAATATTCTTTTCTTCCTGCTTCTGGTTATAGCACTCTTCTTCCTCTGGAGGTCTGTTCTTCCTTCACTGTCCTTTCAATATAGTCCTGATAGGATGGGCAGTGAGACTACCCTGCCCTATTCCCCATGTGTACTCACACACAAGCATAAACGCACACATACATGGCTGGACACCTAACCCCAGGATAGGTTGATCATAATGTCATACCCTGGTAAACACAATGGCAGCTTAGAGGGGGAGACATGTGACCCAGACCTGTCTTAGAATATTCCAAATCAGAGATAAAGAAGTAGCTTTCTCTTTTCTTTGGATCTTGAAATATAAGGATGTGACCCCAGAACAGCTGGTAGTCCTGTCTCTACCACGTGGAAGAATCTTAGAGAATGAGGCAAAGTAGAAAAGAGAGAAGTCAAGAAGAGAAATAGATGAGTGAAAGCCTAATACTATTTGAGTCTCTGGATTCTGGCCTGGTTGAGATCTGCTTGGGGCTTCCCACTTACATAAATGAATAATCTCCATTTTCTTCTTAAGCTTGTTCAAGTTAGGTTTCTGTCACCTGCAAACAAGAGTCCCAACTGATATAAGCTGGATGTAAGATAAATATACTGAATCCTATAGCTTTCTCTTTTTTTAAGATTATAGAGTAACTCCTTTTTTTATTTTCCAACATTTATTATAAAAATTTTCAAACAGAAAAGTTTAAAGAAATTTACAGTGAACACCAATATACCCACCAGTTAGATTTTACAGTTAACATTCTATTATTATATTCCAATGGCTTTCTTCTAGCAATAACAAATAGAAGCAAGAAAAAACGTATCCCGTTCACAAGATACATGTAAAACACTAACCAGTGAGACATCTAAAGCTCCCATAAAATTCTGCACTCAGTAGACTAAGGATCAGGAAAACAGCAGCCTAGGAAGATAGAAAATTTTAGATAACCGATTTACCTAGCCACTCACCATGGTAAAAAATGTGGCTTCATCCCAACTCACGCCAGGAATAGCCAAGTGGGGAGCCTAGACTTACACCCCTGGTCTTCCATCTTCACTTCTATCCCCCACTTTCCTTCCCTTTCATCCCTCAGCTGAGATGGGACGGGGTGGAAGGGGGGGCCTTGAAACCCCACCCCTCCTGGCTGGTGTGGTGTCACAGAGGAGGGAGGGACTCCGCAGTGGTGTCAGGTAGGAACTGTGCCAGCTTTGTACAGAACAACCTTGGCTGACCTGCCTATATCCCATAAGTGGTCTTATTAAAGCTAGAATAAACCAGACTTTGGGAAATGTACCTATTTCAGGTCATTTTAAGTTTTATCTTTTGCTTTTGAGGTCAACCAGGCCCCCGTTAAACCGGCGGAGTTTCCCCTGAAGGGATTGGTCAGATCTACTGTCAATCATCCTTGAAAGGATTAAATAAACAGAAAATCGTGGGTAGAACTTCACGTGAAGAAAGGGCCCAAGCGTCGCTATGGTGATTATTGTTTACTGAATCTCTTCTTCTGAACGCTTGGGTTATAGAGCTGACTGGAAGTAGAAGAACAGGGCAGCAATAAATCCTATTCGTCCTCCTCGGACGGTGAGTTAGGCCACCATTAGGGATGGTAATATGCAGGGAGGGTATCCCTTTAGGAACTTATTGATCTGCTTTGTGCCAAGACTTCAAGCGATGTCACATCTTTGGGCAAGGTAGTTTCACTCATTATTCCCAAACGTTTAGAAAAGGTATATTAGAAGTTTTACAGCCTTTACTCGCCTGCAATATGGAGGATTTAGAGAAAAGAATGCTAGAGCCATAGTTATCTGTACACAAAACCCTCCTAACAAGGTTGTGACCACAGGAGAACCCTCAACAACCACAGCACTGTAGCCTGATGAAAAGGCCAAAGGCCAAAATAGAAGATAATTAGAGACATGGTTCAGATCAGAAGTGAGATTGTACTTTGGAGAACCCTCCAAATTAGCTGGAGGACACTTTGAAGGAACACTATTTCTAGGCATTCAAGCCAGCAGGGGCTAAACCATCATAACATTTAAAAAACCCTGTCAAGCCCTGACTGGTGTGTCTCAGTGAATTGAGTGCTGGATTGTGAACCAAAGAGTTGCCAGTTTGATTCCCAGTCAGGGGACATGCCTGGGTTGTGAGCTGGGTCCCCAGTAGGGGGTGCATGAGAAAGAATCACGTATTGATGTTTCTCTCCCTCTCATTCTCCCTCCCTTCCTCTCTCTAAAAATAAATAAAATCTTTTTTAAAAAAAGACTGTGTCAAAAATAAAAATAAATAAATAAAAGGACATGCCACACTTCCAATTTAAGATGTTGGTCTGAACAAATGTGTTTTCCCCCAAATTCACTTTAAATGAAAGAAGAAAAAATATTAGAGCCATAACCACAAGGAATAACAGGAAAGGGTGTGATTAGTAGGCCAAAATTCTGAGGATTTTCTTGAAGATCTGAAAGAAATAGGGTAAAATTGGTTAAGAAACTAAAGTCAATGAGTCCATGACACCATACTGATATGGGAAAGGGCTGCTCGTAAAAGTGAATTCTCTGTTTTCTAACATAGGCTCCCAAAGACAGACAATGTCACAGTCGTCTGGATCAGGGGATGAGACTGATGATGAGGCCATGTCAGAAGACAATGGTGAGTCAATGAACTAATAAAACTTATAGTTAAGTACAAATAATTTTAAGAACATGTCTAGGAAGCTTGAGTAAATTATTAAGAAATTATTCCTAAGAAGATAAAACATAACAAAACAATTAATAGAAAAATTAATAGCAATGTAGAAATAAATTTCCTGAGAGAGGATTATCATCAGGTGATGGTGGTCAAGAGGGCACTTCTGCTTTTCTTTGCTGTGGTTGTTTTATAGTGAGAATGAATTTGTGTAACATTTTGGCAAAAAACTTTAAAAGTTGATAATATTTAATGTTGCTAGTGGTGTGGGCAATCAGCAGTCTTTCTGGAAGTAGGAGAGTATGCACAACATTTATGAGGAGTAATATGGCAATCTATCAAGATTTTAAATATCTTCCTGTCGACCCAATACTACTTCTCCAAATATATCCTCAGAAATATTTTTATACATTCACAAAGATCTGTGTTACAGGACGTTCATTGCTTCATGATTATTGTAAGAGAAAAGTGGAAATAACCAAATATCCAAAAATAGGGAAATGGTTAAATAAAATGTGGTGTATCTTTACCATAAAATAGTATGCAGCCTTTAAACAGAATGAAATAGATCTCTGTGTACTGTCATAGAAAGATGTCCAAAGATCTCCAAGCGTATTAAGTTTAAAAAGTAAATTGTGGAGCTATGTGTACAGTAATGACAGCATTAAAAATACCAAAGCTTTCTGCCCTGGCTAGGGTGGCTCAGTGGACTGAGCACCAGCCTGCAAACCAAAGGGTTGCTGCTTCAACTCCCAATCAGGGCACATGCCTGGGTTTCAGGCCAAGTCCCTGGTGGGGGGCCTGTGACAAGCAACCACACATTGATGTTTCTCTTCCTCTCTTCTTTCCTCCCTTTCCATCTCTCTAAAAATAAATAAATAAAAATAAAAATAAATAAATATGGCTCCTTTTTCAAAATACCAATGCATCCTATTAGTATATATACAAATATATATGTACATAAATGCTGAGGAAGATGATGAACAAAACTTAACAGTGAAGGGAGCCATCTATGTTTTATCCTATATTCCTCTATATTGTTTTTATAGGAGAAGAATGTGTATGTGTGTCCTTTATATAAGTAAATAAAATGGAAAGGTACCCATCAATAGAATGTAAATAGTGTGTAGAACTGCTAATAGTTGAAAAAAGGGGAAAAAAGAAATTCAGTCAGTCTAGCAAAAGTAAGGAAAAGGGAAAAAGAAACCACAATCAAGTGTGATGATTAGAATTTTTAAAGAACTGACAGGAGTATGTACATCTACACATACTATACTGTGCTGCCCTTAAAAATTATGAGGTACATCTACATACAAGTATACAGACTGGTAAAGCTGTCCATAATATACTATTTTAAAAAGTAAATCAAATCACAGAACAATTCATATAATATGATCCATTTTTTTAAAGCCAAAACTCTGTATCTCGTTAAACATAATGAAAAAGACCTTTAATTACTAAGTTGTTAGCTGTGAGATTATCTTTGGGGAAAGGGTTTTTGGGGGGCAATGAGTGGCGGGGAAGCCACCTTATTGTGTAGTCAAAGCTTGTGGAGAACTTGACATGTCTAAATGTACAGCTGATCATATTATTCCTTTCCCTGCTTGAAGCCCTTAATCCTGGATTGAGTCCAAACTGAAGCACTGCTTACAATTTTCACCTGGACCTGAACCTTACCTGCTTCTCTGTCTTATCTCCCATCACAACCCACAGAGGCATACCACAAGGCAGTTACACCACACGTCAGTCACACAGCATGATAATACTGCATTTGCTTAAATGGTACGTGATTTTTCTCATACCCTCATGTCTTTGTACACACTGTTCCCTTTTTCAAGTAACCCATAGATCTCCCAGTCGCACATTTTGATAATATTATACACTAAGTTCAGATTTGTATTATTAATATGCAAATTACAACTTTAAGCCCCCATCTTGTGGACCAAGGAAAATCTAATTCCACCAGGTTGGACAGTGCTTCCCCCAGCCCACAAGTAATCTCAAGGAACCCATAACAAATTCTTAAATATTCTGAAAATCAGTCCTAGTTGTCTTTGTCATCCCTGCCAGCCATTATTCCTTCAAACTGCTATGATCCAGGGTTTAACAGGTCACCACTTGCTATATTTGACTTTTAAAAACTTTTTATTATATAATTTTAATACATACAAAAGGATATTTGTGATATGTCATTTATGGAGTATAATAATAAAACAAATATCCAAGAACACATCATCAGCTTAAGAACTAGAACACTATCAATGCTTTTGAATCTACCTAAATTCTCCCCCTTTGCTTCCTCCAGAGCAATCCCCTATCCTGGATTTTATGTTATTATTTCCCTTCTTAATTTTTTAAAAGATTTATTTATTTATTTTTAGAGATCGGGAGGGAGGAAGGGAGGGAGAGAAACACCAACTTGTGGTTGCATGTACCCCCAAATGGGGACCTGGCCCACAACCAAGGCATGTGCCCTGACTGTGAATTGAACCAGCGACCTTTTTGTTCACAGGCTGGCACTCAATCCACTCAGCTACACCAGCCAGGGCTTCCCTTCTTAATTTTAATAGTTTTACCATATATATCTATAAACTTTCCTTATTTTTGAGCTTTATGAGAGAGTTATTAAATTATATGTGTTCTTCCATGATATGCTTCTTTCATGTTACATTATTTCTGTGATTTATGTATGTAGCTGGAATTCTGTTTTTTAAATATAATTTATTGATTATGCTATTATAGTTGTCCTAAATTTTCCCCCTTTACCCTCTTCCACTCAGTACTCCCATTCCCTCCAGCAATCCCCAACTTAGTTCATGTCCATGGGTTGTGCATATAAATTTTTTGGCTACTCCATTTACTATACTGTTCTTAATACCCCCCTGTTTATTTTGTACCCACCATTTATGCGTCTTATTCCTTGTACCTTTCCCCCCATTCTCCTCCTCCCTCCTCCCAGCTGATAACCCTCCAAATGACCTCCATATCTATGATTCTGTTCTGTTGTGCTTATTTGCTTAGTTTGTTATTTGTATTCAATTATTAATAGTTGTGAATTTACTGCCACTTTAATGTTCATAATTTTGGTCTTTTTCTTATATAATTCCCTTTATCATTTCATATAATAATGGCTTGGTGATGACAAACTCCTTTAACTTGGCATTACCTGAGAAGCACTTTATCTGCCCTTCCATTCCAAATGATAGCTTTGCTGGATAGAGTAATCTAGGTTGTAGGCCCT